TTTTAAGGAACGGTACTTTTTTTTTTTTTTATAATTAATTTGCTTTTGTTTCATTCTTCCAGGTCTTTCTACTCAATTATAACCTTTTCGAGGGCAAATCTTTCAACTGCTGAACTGTATGCCCTTGTATGTTTATAAAAGGCATTTGTTTGGTTGGCCCTGACCAGTTTGGCTCAGTGGATAGAGCGTCAGCCTGCGGACTGAAGGGTCCCAGGTTCGATTCCCGTCAAGGGTACGTGCCTTGGTTGTGAGCACATCCCCAGTGGGGGGTGTGCAGGAAGCAGCTGATCGATGTCTCTCCCTCATCGATGTTTCTGACTCTATCCTTCTTCCTTCCTCTCTGTAAAAAAAAATAATAATAATAATATATATTTTTACAAAGTCATTTATTTGGAAAGTTAAAAAAGAAATACACCTCATCACAGCTTTGCCATTCTATGGTGTGCTAGATCCCAAAGGCTCAAGCTGTGACACGAATTACTAAATCCCATGACAATGTGTTAACAAAGAACAGCCAGCACACACCGTATGCCATGCACGTGTACATTATCTCGTGTAGCCTTTACACCAATCCCGTAAGGCAGGTGCCATCATCATCTCCACAGACACGTAGGGTGACCTGCGGAAGGAGCAGAGCTAACAAACAGCAGAGCCAGGATCTGAACCGCGGCCGATGGACAAGAGCCCGGCTGAAGATAGCTTCCTTATGCAGAGGAGAAACATGAGATTAAAAAACGCATTACACGTAATGGAGCACGGAAAAAGCCTCTTAAGGAAAATTGCTCTTATTACTTTAACTGGACTGTTGTCTTTTATCAGACGGATCCAAGTGGTGGGAACACAGTCCAGGGAGGGAACCGCTCCTGGCCGGTGCGGGCTCCTTACACAGAAGGCAGGAAACCCCGATTTTCAAAGTTGTGCCTTTTTGCCATCTCTGACCACCTTGATCGTAGCTGGTCTGTGAGTGTTGTAGAATGGTCCTCTTCGTGGCCAGGCTATTTGGATTTGAGGGAGAGAGAGATGGGAGAGATGGAGCGGTGAGACTGTTTGGGTTGGTACCAAATCTCGCCCCATCCAGAGGGATTCAGGTGAGCTCTAGGCCGCCCCCGCAGGGCAAGCAACCCACATGGGGCAGCAAGAAGGTGCCACCTATCCTATTATGGCAGGTAGACCGGGGATCCTGGACCAGAGTCCGCCGTTGCGGCCGCTCTCCTGCCCCGGCACGCTCTCCCTTCCCCTTTGTCAGGCAGGACGCCCCAGAGCCACGCCAGAGCCTGCAAACCTGCGCCCTTTGATGTCAGCACACCCACAGGGACCAAATGTTTCCCATCAGGCATCCAGCCCAGGCAGAGCGGAGTCCTGTGGCTTTAAAACCCAAACCAGGGCTCTCCTCTGTGATGCGGAAGTAGATCCTGGAGATCAGCTCTCTCCGGTTCTGACAACTCAGTAACTCCTAATGGGATAGATCAGAAATCCCCAAAGTCCAAATTTTCACCCCTTTCCAACTACTTCTCACAATCTCTCTCTCCAGAAATCGGAAAAATGTCTGCCAACAAAACAAAAAGCAAACCTACTTCAAACAAGTCTAACTGCCTTCACTTCAGGATTATGTTTCCTCACAAAACTGCTCTTGTAAATTCAAAGTTCTGGTATCATCTAATTACAATTCCTGTACAGCTTTTTATATGCGTGTACTTGGAAGCCAAAAAAATGAGGCTTCCATTGCTTTTGCACCTACCACTAAAGCAAGTGGGAACAAGAGGATCAATAATTCCGTCAAGAATTATTTTAAAAGATGCTGGAATTCTTTTATTTGCTGTTTTCGCACAGCTCCAGTCAAGATGCGAGAAGCTAGGTAAAATGCAGGCTTAACATATATGGTCATCCCCAGACTTGCTTACTACACAAAAGGGGAAATTAATAAAAGAAGAAAAGAAGAAATACCACACAGCATTTTCTTTCCCCACCATAATTTTTCAATTTTCTTTAGAGAAATGCCAGCCAATAACTAATTAGAACCATATCCTTTGTTATCCCAATGGGAAGTATACGAATGGTCTTAAAGAAAAAATGTTAATGAGGGCTTTTAAAAAATTAGTAATCTGGAACTTTTGGTTTATCTTCAGTGTAAAACAAAATTCTGTTCTTTAAAAGCTATTTTTGTAGTTGGTGAAACACAAACATGGTCCATCAACAAAAAGGTAACTGTTGCCTGGCCAGTTTGACTCAGTGGATAAGAGCATGGGCCTATGGACTGACAGGTCCCGGGTTCCATTCCAGTCAAGGCCACATGCCCAGGTTTTGGGCTTCGTCTCCATTAGGAAGCGTGCAGGAGGCAGTCGATCAATGATTATCTCTCATCGTTGGTGTTTCTATCTCTCTCTCCCTCTCCCTTCCTCTCTGAAATCAATGAAAATATAACTTAATAAAAAATTTTTTAAAAAGTAAGTTGTGCCGAAACCAGTTTGGCTCAGTGGTAGAGTGTTGGTCTGCGGACTGAAAGGTCCCGCGTTCGATTCCGGTCAAGGGCATGTACCTTGGTTGCGGGCACATCCCCGGTAGGTCGATGTTTCTCTCTCATCGACGTTTCTAGCTCTCTATCTCTCTCCCTTCCTCTCTGTAAAAAATCAATAAAATATATTTTTTTTAAAAAAAAGTAAAGTAAGTTGTTCATCCACCCAGCACCCTGAACTAGGGGTGCCCTGCACTTTTCACTGTTCTTATCATGGAAGTGGCATCACAAGCACCCCTATCTCCAACAAGAAAGACAAAAGCTGAAAATTACTGAAAAGGAATTCGTACATCTCTGGTGTCAAGAGGGAAAGTGAGTGCACAGCTTTTGTAATTTTCAAGAGTATGTTTTCCGTGAGAAACACAGCCAGAGTCCTGTTACCTGGTCGTGTCACCTCAAATAAGAATGTCTCTGGCATGGGGTCTTGAGTTACCTATTCATGAACATCTAAGAACAGAAACCACAGCCTCAAAACTGGACTTGTTTTAGAGAACTAAGTACACAGAAAAACTCTGAGCAAAAAGTAAGATGTTTAAAGACAAACGCACCATGGTTTGAGCATGTGTAGCATTCTGAGCTATATTGTCAACTGAGGGTCTGCCTTCTGTCATCCAGACTCATCCGGGTGGAATCAGCAGGTTTAGACTGGGGCCTTAGACCACTTTTTTTCTCTCTCCATGCAAAGCAGGCATGGCCTATGTCATATCAAATATTCTTTTTTTTTTTTATAAAAAGCTTCAAGCATGGTGGAAACATCTCAATTTGCTCCACAGTTTTACTCTCCAACGAATTTATTTTCCCCACTGTGAAAATCACAGTAGGCGCTAGGTCTGTCACATTTTATCATCACTGTATGCTTGCAAAAGCTGGAAGTCGCCGGGGTTGCCCAAAAAGGACATGATTTACACAGACTCCGGTCTGTAACAGACACTTGTCATGAGGATGGAAATATTACTTGGTAAATCACTTTCTGAAGATGATTCCTACCCAAAAGGCCTATAAAAGCAACCCCTAAGGAAACAAAGGGTTCCACGCTGTAAAGCAAAAGTGGGCTAGCCATTCATACGAATGCACTACCAAACACATAAATCACAGATGGGCAGAATCACCTAAAAAAAAAAAAAAAAAAAAAAAAAATGGCTAACATGCCAGGGTTTGCCTCTGTGTGGGTCGTGAGCCCGTGTCTTTCCAGCGTTACACGTACAAGCTGCATTTGTTAAACTGTATTTCATCCTTTAAATCCCACGTCTGTACCTTACCCTGCCTCGGGACGGATGATTTACTGGAGACGTTTGGGGTCACAGTCTAAGCCGCTTGCTCTCACTAAATCTAAATCATGCCTCCCCACAAGAATCTACACACGCGGGAGGAACACACGGCATGCCGTTCCCACCCTCCCCAGAGAACCCAACGGCCCCCAGAGCCGCCCTCCTCCTGCTCACGCACGGAGCTTCTCGGACAGGGACGGGGCTGAACGCACACGCTGCATACGAGTTCGGCAAGAGCACCCCAAAACTTTTTGTTTGGACTCCTGACTAAAGTTTCTGAATTCACTGGATTAAAACAAACATCTTCAGAAACCCAACCTCACTTCAGCAGCAAGCTGGGAGGAAGGAGAAGTTGACAGCGAAGTATATTCGCATCCTCGGCCCGCCAGTCAACCCACACCTATGGGATCAGTTCAGCATTTCCTGCCAAGACGACAGTGCTTGGCCCACCAACCGAGCAACTAAGACCGGCGAGGACAGGTCTGCTCCTGTGCCTGGGAGGCGGCTGCAGAGGATGGCTGGACAGACAGACGGGGAAAAGCTCCCGGGTGGCCACCAGGTCAGGCCGGGGTGCAGAGCCAGTGAGAAAGGGAGAGAGGAGCGAGCTGAGCTCCCTTCTTGCCCAAAGCCATGGTCAGCGAGCCTGACCTCGGCCTCCCGGTGCAGGGTCCCAGGGCGGAGAGGTCCCAGAAAAGCAGATATCTCTGGGAAAGACAACAAACTCCCCGGTTTGGGCATTATGGGCAGGGGGCTGGCGCCCTCTCCCACCCACTACAGCTATCCGAGAGGGGGCCAGTGGCTGAGGGACCAAGAGGCCTCTCCCTGCATCTCTGCCCGGTAGGGGTCACGGGGTCAGGACCCCTTACTGGGGGGCTCCCAACTTGTGCAGACAGGGCTCTCCACTCCTCAGGACGCAAGCCGGGTTTGGGGGCCCGAAGGGTGTCCAACTTTCCCGTCAGGCGCGGCCTGGCATAGGCACCAAGGAGTTGTTGCCTCGGGAGACCCAACCCGGCGGGGTCCCAGGATTGGGGGGTGGCGGGGAGCACGGCCAGAGGAAGGTGAGACCGAGGGGCGGGAGGGGGGCTGCGTGCAAAGATGGAGGAAGGGACAGAGGGGCCGGACAGCGGGTGAGGGGGCGGCGGGAAGCCGGGTCCCGGGGACGCGCGGGGCGTGCGCCCAGGCCGGGGGCGCCGCCGGCCGCCGAGGCCCGCGCCGCTCACCTTCCGGTGCTTCTCCTTGTAGGGCAGCGCCAGCCACGGCATGTCCCGCACGAAGTCCTGCCACTGCCGCTGGTCCTGGTCCGAGGACACGAAGACGATCTCCAGGCGGCGCCGCGAGTCCGGCTCCGCGGCCGCCCCGGCCCCCGGCCCAGCTCCGCCGGCCCCGGCCCCGGCCCCGGCCCCGGCCCCCGGCGCGGCCGCCGCGTCCCCCCGCAGGCGGCCGTAGAAGGCGGCCAGGCTGGCGCTGAGCTGCGCGCAGGGGGCGCTCAGGCTGCAGCCGAAGTAGAGCCCGAGCAGCGAGATGCCGCGGGCGCCCAGCGAGTGGACGTCCACCTCCTCGCCGCCGCCCGTCACCAGCTTCTCGCCGAGCAGCTCCTCCAGGAAGCCCGACATCCTGGCCCTCCGCAGCCAGCCCCGGCACCGGCCCCGGGCGCGCAGGCGGCGGCCACCCGCTCCCCTCGGTCCGCGCGGCGGGCGGAGGCGGCGGCAGCAACGGCGGCCAGAGGAGAGCCCCGCCCACATGAGGGAAGCTCCGCCCATACGAGGGGAGCCCCGCCCACGCCGGCCGCCCACACCATGCCCCTCCGAGCCGCCCACAAGAGAGGAGCCCCGCCCACTCTGGCCGCTCAGGCCACGCCCTCTCCGTGGTCAGCGCTGCCCGCCGGTCCGCTCCAAGCTGGGCACCGGCTTGCAGCCCAGACCTGGACGCTGACCAGCACGCTCCGCTCCGACAGGAATGCCTGGCGCCTAATGAAGAGGGAAGGGTTCCCTGAGCCCGCCCTTCTAGGGCGACTTAGCCTTACCCTTCCATCCCAAATTCTCAGTTCTCTCCCGACTTCTCCAAAGATCCCCATGGCCCCCCACTCGAGTTCTGTTACCCTTTCTTATTCCTCCCTCCTCTCTCTCCCTGCACCACGCATAGCCCTTTGCCGTCTTGTTCCCACTGGCCTCCCCCTGGGAAGGCTTATAGGACTTACCACCTTCATGGCAAGCATTTTCTCTGGCCAGGTCTTGAACGACACTTATTTTTCTGTGGGTGTGTTTTCTGTTCTCTAAGAGGATTACTGTATTTCTTGTGTCATTTCTTTTTTAAATATATTTTATTTATTTTTTACAGAGAGGAAGGGAGAGAGTTAGAAACATTGATCAGCTGCCTCCTGCACACCCCCCACTGGGGATGTGTCCACAACTAAGGCACATGCCCTTGACCAGAATCAAACCTGGGACCTGTCAGTCCTCAGGCCAATACTCTATCCACTGAGCCAAACCGGTTTCGGTTCTGATCTGGTGCTAGGCACACATGGGGGATCCATCATACCTGTGGGTGGATCGCAGGCCACCCTGTGGGATTTCAGTCCACAGCCTGCAGTGGCCGGCCGTTGGCCACCAGCGAGTGGCTGTCTTCCATCTCCACTGAGGTATGCTACGGATGCCGCATGCATTTAGGTCAATGCTGGCTGCTCTTCAGAATGCTTCCATCCCTATACCAGGTATGTTGGTCAATGAGAAAAATTCTAGGGAGTTTTTTTGTTTCCAGTTGGCAAGACGCTCCCCTATGCTTAGAGAGAACATGGATTAAACAGGTGGTCTGTGGCAAGTCTTCCAGCCACACACACGAAAAATATAATGTGTATCGCGACCATCCGCACTTAGGACCTTCAATGTGTGTCAGCTCAGAAACCAACAACGCGGTAAAAAGAAAAAAACAAACAAAAAACCGCTCTTCTCAAAGGCTTCCACCGGTCTTTCTGAAGTTATTTATTGGATATTTACCGCCATCTAATGGAAAGAGTGAAAAAAGAAAATGACGAGAAAAAGCTGAATGAGTTCATCACCACCAAACCAGGATTACATGAAATGCTGAAGGGTATTCTTTAAGAAGAGGAAGAAGAAGAAAAAGGTAAAGGTGAAAATTATGAACAACAAAATGACAATAAATACATACCTACCAACAAGTGAATCTAAAAATCAAGTGAATAAAAAAATCTGATGAACAGAATGGACTGATGAATATAATGGAATCAGGGAGGGACATAGAAAGAGAGTAGAATGATAATTCTCGGGGGAAGGGGATCTGAGGGGTGTGGGAAGACATTGAACAAAAGTCTTACACCTATGGATGAAGACAGAGGTGGGAGGTGGGGGGTGAGGGTATGGGGTGGGGTAGGGAATCAGGTGGAGGGGAGCTATGGGTGGAGGGGGAAGAGGAACACCTGTAATAATCTGAAAAATAAAGATTTTTTTTTAAATGAGATCTTCGGAGGCCAATACTATTTGAAAAGAGATTCTTGGCCGCCAAACCGAAATTTTATTCATAGCAGCTTCACACACAAACACACACGCAAATCACAGCACGCTTTATAGAGTCCACGTAAACCCCAGATTATAACCATAAGCTTTTGGCACAAATTTTCATGCCTAAGGTTCTCAATTTTTCTAGGATAGAACCAGGAATTTTGCTGGTTTTCAGCTCAGTGAAATGTTACCACATAAACCCGTGCGGGAAGTGGAGGTGAAAACCAAGAGAAAACTGGCAATCTCTAAAAAATTATGTTCATTTTCTTAATGTCTACTTAATATTGCTGCTCGTTTCACAAATAGGATCAAGGAAGAACCATATCACAAAGGCAAATTCTGAGTTAATTTTCAGAGTGTCACGCCAAAATTCTGTGCCATTCAGGGACAGTATTACCGACAGTCCTTGGGTTACGTCGGACTCAGAGTAGTTCTTGTGGTTACATCACCATCTCCCATTTATTTATTTATTTATTTTTAAAAAAGTGCCGAAACAGGTTTGGCTCAGGGGACAGAGCATCAGCCTGTGGACTGAAGGGTCCCAGGTTTGATTCTGGTCAGGGGCACATACCTTGGTTGCAGGCACATCCCCAGTAGGGGCTGTGCAGGAGGCAGCTGATGGATGTTTCCCTCTCATCGATGTTTCTTTCTATCCCTCTCCCTTCCTCTCTGTAAAATATAAAAAAAGAAGTCCAGTCATTTCGACGTATGTACATATGTGCTTTATGTTTTTTATTATTTATTTACCACAAGAAAAGGTCAGGAATTGTTATCTTTCTTTTAATTTTTTTTTTTTTTTACTGTTTCACTTCATTACTGCTGTGTATGTGCTCCATGTGAGTGACATAGAATAGGTGCTTATGTAAGTGGGTTCCAACTTACGATGAAAATCGAGTTATGTTGCGCTGTAGGAACAGATCTCCAATGAAACCCGAGGACCTACTCTATTATAAAACACAGGAAGCATCATTTTTCAGTGAAAACGTGTTAAAGCACCTGGCCAGCATGGCTCAGTGGTTGAGCTTCGACCTATGAACCAGAGGTCATGGTTCGATTCCCAGCCAGGGCACATGCCTAGGTTGCAGGCTGGGTCCCCAGTGTGGGACATACAGCCAATCAGTGAATCTCTATCAACACTGACATTTCTATATATCCATCCCTCTCCCTTCCTCTCTGAAATCAATAAAAATATCCTATATAATAAAAGCCTAATATGCAAATTGTTCGACCAGCAGTTCCACAGCTTGCTATAACGAGCGTTGACCATCAGGGGGCGGTGCAGAACATGGCGGGGCCACAGCCACCATGACCACAAGAGCCGGGCGGGTTCCTCATGGGTTCCTGTAGGAGTGGTCTGCGAGGCTGATGGGAAGAGCATGCTGTGCCACTGGGCGGCCCAGAGGCCCACGCTACACCCTGGCCCACAGAATCCGGCCACACTCACCACATCTGCATGGGGACTCAGGCTGTGACTCAGGGAAGAGGGGGGTATACAGGGTGGCCCCGGGGCCCAGGTGCTGCCCAAGGCCCAGAAGTCAGCTGAGACCTGCTCTTTTACGCCAGATGCTCACCCTTCAATCACAGACCAGACCTAGGGACTGCACCCATGCATGAATTTCGTGCACAGGGCCTCTAGTGTATTTATAAGAAAACATGGTAAAGCTATTAAAACAGACATTAAATTATTTGATATCTTCCAATATTCTATAAGTACCTAATAGATTCATGCTTTAGCTTCTCACCCAAATCCTAGTTGAAAAGCCTGTGAGTGAGTTATAGCAGGCACCCTTGAAAGCATGTGAGACAGATAGATTCCTCTACTCTAACATTTTTCAAGTGAACACTGAAGAAATATGAAATGACGATAAGCTTTTATATCCTACAGAAGCCAAAGGACAATTTGGTGTGGAGGTAGGTGAAGAGGGAATTTGGGGGATTGCAAATTTGGGAAAATAGTGAAGTCATTATTAAAGTACTTAACTTTGGTAAACCAGGAGCAAGCCTGATATAAAGAGGCGGTTTGTTCGGCATTTCACTTTTATTATTTTACAGGAAAGCACTTTCCACTGGAGTGTGTCCAAACCAGCATCTGGCACCTGGGAGAGTGAGAGTCTGAGCAAGCTGCACATGAAATATAAATAAAATTTAGAGAATTGTTGGTGCGGCAGGCCTTGGTTAGAAGCCAAATATCACAGCTGCCTTTTAAAGGGGCGTGGAAAGAGGGGATTTGCAATGGAAATGACTCCAAATTCATAATTCTAGTGGGTGTTTGTTACGAGAGGCCCAAGGAGACTCACTGGGCTTCCTGTAAAGAAGAGCCAACATCCTTTGGTGTACTGAAAGCACTCTCTCTGCTTATGTATATCAAGAGACACACTTAAAAAGAATGTCCTGCCCAGCTGGTGTGGCTCAGTAGTTGAGCATTGATCTACAAACCAGGAGGTCATGATTTGATTCCCAGTCGGGGGCCCGGGTTGCGGACTTGATCCCCAGTGTGTGTGTGTGTGTGTGTGTGTGTGTGTGTGTGTGTATGGAGGGGGTGGGGATGGAGTTGGCGGGGGGAGTGCAGGGGTCATACGATCAATGATTCTCTCTGATCATTGGTATTTCTATTTCTCTCTTCCTCTCTGAAATAAATAAAAAGAAATATATAAATATCCTTACCGGTATTCAGTTAGTAAGGTTATATAAATTGACTGGCTATTCTGAAAATTATTATTGTTTTAAAATAATTATTAAGGAGCTACAAAATGCCTGGCATTGTACAGAACATCCTAGGCTGCCGCTTGTAAATTTTTAACTGGAGAAAAATACATATGCAAACATAATGTTTACATATGCATGACACTTATCTGGAAAGACATGTAGGAAATAGCAACAGATTGCTTGGGGAAGGGAGCTGAAGGAAATACATGTGAGAAAAACATGGAAGCTCTAATTCCAATCCAAGAAGAAAAAAAAAGTACTTCTTGAAATTTCAAATAGGGCTTATTCAAAAGATCACACACTACACGTGGAAGAAAAAGGTTTAAAGGTAAGCAGGACATCTCAAAATGAAAGCGAAAAAAATGTCTCACACACAAAAATTCAAATTCTGTTACAACAAAACTGCTAGCACAAAATGAATATTTTTATAATACACAAGCTTCCCAAATCCCATAGCTCAGAAACGAACTGACAACATTGGAATCAAAATTGATTCAAACAAAACATTGTAT